TATTTTGGTATATAGGGGAACCCTCCCCACCAACAAAGGGGTGAGACAGGGCACCCAGCTCGGGGACCTAGTTAATATGGGGTTAACATTAGACCACTTTCCGTGGAGAATCGAACCACCATTGTGGTTCGGTTTGCCTGAAATTCAAACCACCATTGGTGCTTTGGAGGCTTGGTGCTTACTTTGCGTAAACAGGGATCCTTACATGTTGCACCTGAACATTGCCTTGCAAATGGTGGTTTCCCTGCATTTTGGTGTTGAAAAAGCAACATGTTTCAAATGGACATCCCTGAATTTTGGTGTTGAAAAAGCCATGTTTCAAATTGGCAAAATGGAGATCTTTTAAGGAGCCCTGGTAAACCTCCCGCGCAAACCGCCGCCTGCGCCGTGGCCTCCGCCAAGCGCGCCACGTCGCGGACCAGCGGCGGCGGCCAGGGCTGAGCGCGGAAAGCGCCTCCGGCCTGGAACTCATGCGTGTGGCTGGCCGTTTTTTTTTTGGGGTGGTACCTTTTTATTTTTTTTGCGTGTGGCTGGCGAGTTATTCTTTTCTGAGTTGGTACCATAAACTGAGTTGGTACAAGAAAGATCACATTATTGCTGTTTGATTTTATTTTGTGTTGTTTTTTTTGGGGGGCTGGTTTCTGTTTTTTAGGTTGGTACTCTTTTTGGGCCACGAGGAAATCATGTTTTGTTTTTTTTGGGGTCAACTGAAAAGGCTTAAGGTTAAATTTCCAACCAAGCAGCCAAACTAGAACAACATCCTCCCTAATTATTGGCCAAGATGGTAGTATGTGATATACATATATATATTTGTATATACAGACCTATACATATTGTTATATCTCCTCCAAATGTGGCTACTCTTTTTGGAAAACCCGTCGGAGAGCCGAAGGTTCAACGGCCAAGGGGCTTCAATTTGCTTGGACGCCTTCATCGGCCGCGCGAAGATCGGCGTGCCATCACCTCGCATTCGCAGATCGGCTCAGTTTAAACTTGCTGGTGCGATAGGTAGGGAAGTTGGAATGAACGCAGGGGTCCCTTAAAGGAAACCGCAAGGGACGGTTTTTCTCAGGGTCATTCCATGTCTCGTTCCCTCATCTCTCGCACCAGCAAGTAAACATGCTCAACCACAAGGTGCCCAAGACCTCAGTTGCCCCATCGGGGGAACACTGGAAATCAAAGGTAATCTGATCTAGATCCTCCAGTACAGAATTTAGAATAAGGGTACCTTTCTTTTCTGTAGAGTCTATTCTAGTAGGGGAACCCTCCCCCAAAAAGGGGTAAAAGGGCAATACTGGGGGACCTAGTCCTTTTGGGACCTGGAATTTTGAACATGGGAAGCCAACATGGGAAAACCAAAAGTCATTTCGACCGGTCGATTTGCTTTGGGCAGACGTGACCGAGTGGTTTTATCAAAGACACAACCACCCCTGAATGAGGAAACCGATGGGACCGTGTACTAATTTTCGACACACCCATGGTGTGGGTGTGGCTCAAGAGTACGGGTGCAAAATGGAGCCCTGGCAAATGGAAAGGAAGACAAAAGCCTTCATCACCCCAGCTGCTTGATTTTGAGCCACACCTGTATGGTTGGAGCAACTCCGGCTCCCCTTACAACCCACCCAAAAGGTTCGCGAATCCTTCCAAACTATCAGCTTCCTCCTAGTTGGGCTGGTGGAGTCCCAGTTTCCAAGTCCAAATCAATCCAAACCAGGGCTGTGGGAAATGGAATCCACTTCTGTGATACAACGGAAAGGGCTTCCCAAAGACTAAGCCTCACAGTGGCTGGATAAACCTGGCAAATTGCATAAACCCTGTGAATAAGGAGGGGTCCCACGAGTGGATAAACCCCGAGTGATCCCACCACCCGGAAATCCAAACCACATCACTCAAACCACCCACCAAGAAACTCGATCGAGTTCGACGGGCCTCCGCGAGGTTTTTTTTTTTTTTTTTTTTTTTTTTTTTTTTTATGTTTCCTCTTCAACCCACCGATTCGAGTGGATTGAATCGAACCCCAAAAGGTCGGAACTGTTTGTTTGCCACGAACACGGTCTCAACCCCAAAAGATATATATATATATATATGTAAAGTTCATGAACTCGGGAAATGAGTGAAAAACAACACTTCAAGATGGCCAGCAAGCTAACGTCCGGATGTGATGATATACAATGACCAATTTGACCTCCACCACTTTGGCCGCGGGACCTCCTTTCACACGCTGCTATTTCAGACTCATTCATGGACCCATTGTTTTGGACATCCACCAGTCTGGGTCCGGGACTTCAATGTTTCATAGCCATTTCTGTTTTCGCCTGTCTTCCCTTTTCGTTGCTTCCGCCCAAGACTTCTCCACCGCGGCGCTGGCGAAGTAGCCACCCCAGGTCCCCGCAGCCATTTGGCCGTAGAAGACCAGCCGGCCCCAGGCGACGAAACAAAAGGCCTCGAACAACGAAGGCGAGGGCGTGCGTTTGGCTCGTTTGGCCCGTGTCTAGGTCCTCCAGTAGAGAGGTTTAAATAAGTTGGTACCAACTTTTTTTCTGTAGTCTGGTTTAGTAGGGAACCCTCCCAACCAAAAAGGTGTGTTTAAGCCTAAGCTTTGTGGTTGCTTGGAATTCTGAGGGCAAGGAAACCCAAAGGATAAGCAAACCGATCTCTTAGCAGGGGCCATTACATTTAAAAGACAAACGCCTTGTGGAAGGGGGATGGATGTTTTGGGCGAATGACTGTAATTTTCCAGATCTGGGCTATTTCGCAACCGCTAAGCTGCTGCCTTCACAAAAGATCCACATGGGAACTAAGGCTCAAATCGGGTTAGTTTAGGGCTTCTGGCCGCGCTTCAATCAATTAAGCGGATCCAAACAGTTCCGAACGGCATCCTGAATGCAATCGTGGTCACATGAAAGGTCCGAGAGTTGGGACAGCGAGGGATTGCAAGTGGTTTCTGCACAAAGCTCTCACTGGGTGCAGCTGCTCAACACCTTTGCACTCCCCATCTGACTAGGGGTGGCGCAGGCAGGCGGTGTGCCAGCTCAAAAAGCTGATTATCAATCGTGTGCCAACGGCCTTCCTGAGTGGATTGGCCAAAAACAGTGAAACACTTCTTACCACTAAAATGGAACCCAAATCATCGGCAAAAAAAAACAGTCCAGACTTTCTACTTACCACTAAAACTTCTACTTCCCACTAAAATGGAACCCAAACCCCAAAGAGCGGGTTAAAGTCCCAAAAAAGCCGAGTTGGACCATTTTAGGAACTTGGAAACCCCTTTTTAGGACCATTTAAAGTCCGAAACCGAGACTTCAGGCAGTGAGATGTTTGCAACGATCGAGTCGTGGCTCGAGCCGCGAGCTCGATATGGATCGAGCGAGCGCGAGCGCGCCTCGTCGGGGAGCTCTCCTGTCTTGCCGTCCCAGGTGCTCGCCAGCCTAAGGAATCGGCTGAGACTTGTGGCCCTTTTTGGCCGATCTCTTTCAGCCAACCCAGAAAAGGGTACCAACTCAACAAAAACACACGGCGCTTTCAGCCCAAAGCGCGGGCAACCCGTACTAGTCCTCCAGTAGAGAGGTTCTAGAATCAGTTGGTACCAACCTTTTTTCTGTAGTCTGTTTTAGGGGAACCCTCCCCCCACAAAAGAAATGGTAAAAGGGCACTACTAAAGAACCTAAATATGATTAAAGTGGAAGCCACGATTCTGTGATACAACAAAAAGGGCCGAACCCCAAAGACTACCCCCTGGAGAAAAAAGAAACAGGGCGAGTCCGGAAAGTATCACAAAAGTTGGGAGAAACCCCGAGTGATCCCACAACCCTGGCCAATCTTGATGTGTCCAAGGGCGCTCCTTGGCCAAACCCCCCCGCCTTTTGAACGCATCGGGTTTGTTGATCCGGGGTTCCTACTACCCAAAAGAAATGTTGGGGGTCTTTGGTGACGCTTTGACTGCTCGCCCAGCTGCTGGGAACTGCAACTCCGCATATGTCCGATTGCAACATCGCACCCCGACTGGCACTGGCGCAAACTAACTTTGCCCAACAAATGATGTTGAGAAAGAAGAAAAGGGGGAATCTAGACTAGGTCCTCCAGAGGAGAGGTTAGAATAAGGGTACCTTTTTTTTCTGTAGTCTATTTTAGTAGGGGAACCCTCCCAACCAAAAACGGGGTTAGAAAGGGCACTACTGGGGGACCTAGTAGAGCCAGCATCTTGCCAAGCCTCTGGCCAGTGAGGCCGACTGGGGTTGCAAGGGGCCTTCCTTGTCGTCTTCTTCTTGTGACAAGAACAAGTCAAGCGAATCTGCAAAATGGCAAGCGGTGAAAGAAACAAGGAACCAGTCCAAAAAAAACGAGCATCACGAGAACCCTCACATCAGAAAGACATACTTTGGGGAAGCAACCTGATTGGCCTGGGCCATCAAACAACTAACATGTTGTTGGCATCCTAACCCGGTGGGTATGGTGGGCATCGAAAAGTGCCCCGCTCTATGGGCTCCGGTTGGCTCAAACCCACCCAAAACAACCACAGGCTTCCCCGACCAATGCGCCAGGGGCCAGGGGCAACAGGCGACGCCTATCTTTTGTTCTGGCTTGGCCAAGGGTGCGGCCGCCAAGTTGGCTGGCTCATGTTCAAAGGCACTGTGTCATAAACGACCTATGGAAGAATGAACCAACCATGCACAGCACAGAAGTGGTCATTCCCCACAGCCCTGTTTCTGAGTGCACCCAAAAGGGGGTTGGTTTGATTGGTGTGTTTGGTCAGGTTCTGCTACTTAATGTGGGAACGATGTGGGTGTGGATTCTTTTGAGGGTACCCTCTTCAGGTTGATTTAGATGGACACCAAGAGAAGAAATATCGATTTTGTGTGTGTGTGTGTGTGTTTGTAGAAAACCCCCACTAAAGAGGGGGTGTCGTTTAAAGGGACCACTTTGAGCCCAAGACAGTCTTTGTCACCCCTTGATAATGGCGTTCGGCCGGCCCGCACGGTTTTTGCATCTTGTTTGCTCCATGACTCGGGCTCTGGTTGATGGCTCAATCTGAATTTGACATGCCCGCCCCAAAGGACTCCTGAGCAGCTTTCCCTTGCGCACTTCGGTGAAACCCACTCCTATAGGCCGGAAGGGCGTCCACTTTGAACATTGACCATCGTGGTCCCTTCTTTCCTCTAAAGCAAGTGCGCTGCTCGGACAAAAGCTTCCTGTAGCAGGTCCAAAGCTAAACCCCCCTGGCTTACCCCACGAGAAGCTACATTTCCAAGTTCTCGACAACTGGGCCAATGTAGCCTCCCAATTTGCTAGATTTCAGCCAATGTAGCCAAATCTGGACGCTACATGGCTCTTTTCTATTACCGTCAAGGGGCTACCGGGCTACATTCAAAATGTAGCCCCATTTTCTACAAACGGACTGAATTTGTGCAATGTAGCCCCTGTATTTCTATGACGGAACGGCACTGTAGCGGGTGGTCATTTTATTCAAATGCAAGCAACGGGGGATGCTGACATGCTCTGATGCCTGATCCCATCAAACAGCTGTTGTCGGGTGTTGTTTCATCACTGGCACACATGAGCACTCTGGTTTTGCAACGAACTTGCTCTGGCAAAACGTAGATACAGCCTGTATCAGCATCATAACCAATTTTGGCAACAGAGTCGGAGATTCACGGTTGCCAATGAGCCACAACCTGTAAAGACACATTCTCCCATTTCAGCGTGAAAAAAGGGAATGGTCACTCTTGCCAACGAGCTGCAACCTTGAAAGGCACCATTTCCCTTCACAGTCACGGAGTTGGGGATGGCCACGCTTGCCAATGAGCTGCAGCCGTAAAATGACAATTGTGCAGTCTCAGTGATAGAAATGGGAATGGCAATGCTTGCTAATAAGGTGCAACCTTCAAACACATGTTGACCAATCTCAGTGACAGAGTTGGGAAGGGCAACGCTTGCCAATGAGCTGCAACCTTTGAAGGCACGCGGACGAACCTCAGTGACAGAATTGGGGATGGCCACGCTTAGCAATGAGCTGCAACCTTCGAAGGAGCTTGCTTCAATCTCAGTGACAGAGTGGGGGATGGCCACGCTTCCAATGACCAGCATTCATGGAATGCACCCAATCCTATCACAGTCACAAAGTTAGGCAAGGTCAGGCTTGCCAATGAGCTGCAATCTTTGAAGGCAAACGGTCCGATCTCGGTGACAGAGATGAATGGCCACGCTTGTCAATGAGCTGCACCCGCAAAAAGCATTTTCTGCAGTTGCAGTGACAGAATTGGGGATGGCAACGCTGGCCAATAAGCTGCAATCTGCAAAAGCACATGGGCCAATGTCAGCAACACTGTTGGGAATGGCAACGCTTGCCAATGAACAGCAAGCTTGGAAGGCAGCATGGCCAATCTCAGTGACAGAAGTGGGAATGGTCACGCTTGCCAACAAGCTGCAGCCTTGAAAGGCAGCATATCCTATCACAGTCGCAGAGTCCGGGATGGCAACGCTTGCCAATGAACTGCAACCTTTGAAGGCACGCGGACGAACCTCAGTGACAGAATTGGGGATGGCCACGCTTACAAGCGAAGTGCAACCCTCAAAGGCACCATCTTGTATCACAGTCACGGTGTCAGGGATGGCCACGGTGGCCAACCTCAAATGCCCAGTGGTCATGGCAATCAAGGGCATCCGCTTTTGTTGTTTGTCTCCGGGGTTGGTTGACTTGAAAGGGGAACCCTCCCCAAAAAACAGTTGAAAAAAGGAAGCAACCCACTGGGCAACTGGGCAACAAGCTGGCACCTTGGAAGGCACCATTCCCAATCGCAGTCACGCCTGCTAGAATTTCCGCTACGCGAAAATCGTCAGGATGGCAGTCGGATGCTGAGAAGCTGCAGCACGTCACCAACTTGATGCTGAGGAAAGCTAGAACTTCTGTAGCTGGAATAGCTTTCGACACAATCTCTTCATTGTTCACCAACGGCCAGTCTCCAACAACCACTTCCACGCAGCTCATGCTGCGCCTTGATTCATCTGCGCAGGCCAGCCACCCATGCAGCTGCCTCTTGAACTCTCGAAGGGTCATGTCGGGCAGTAATTCGAATGCCTCATCATCTGCCCCAGACAGCTGTCGCACCGTAATCTCTCTTGCCATGGCAGACTTCTTCTTTGGCTACTGATGCTTGAAATGTTGTTCTGAAAACTCGCGCTTGTGGCGCGGACAAAGTTGTTTCCCTTTAAATCCGGCCAACAAAGGGTGCCCTCAAAAGAACACGTACTCACATGAGCAAACTAGTAGAATTCACAAACTATAAATCATCAATCCTCAAGCAAGGGACTTGTTTGTTCCCAAGCTAAGTCACTCATAATGTGTTCAACATCTTTTACACCCAAACCAGTCCTAAGAGTCCCGCATTAAGTGCGCAAAACAACAAGTTCCTGTTGTTGTCCAGTATGGCACCTGCATGCACCTGCATGCAAACTGTCGCCAAGTGAGCAACAAGCAGCCATGCACTCACTTACCATCGAGTGGAGCCAAGAAAAGCCTAACCTTGTTTCCACTAACATGGTCTTCCCAAGTCCAGAAACTCGGGAGTGAGGCCCATGGGGAACCTTTGATGAACCACGCGTAACTCCTCTAGAGGCGTTACGCGCTTGTCAAATGAACGGAGATTGCCACAGAGGGAAACCCGGGCAAATTCCCCAATCACATGTTCATGCTGAAACGCTTTGGATTGGTTTGGATTCCTTACTCTTTATATCGACCGTTTTTTTGAAAACCGGGTCCCAGTCCCTTCGTCCGGCCCCGTTCCAACCTACCAAGCCATTCCTACTGTGGATGGTTGCGACATCCATTTCGCACCACCGTTCAGAAACCCAGGGGAACGATTCGATTCCGAACTTTCCAACGTGAATACCAACAAACCGTATGGTTTCATTCCCATGAACTCCATTTCATGGGCTAAACCCTAACGCTAGTTGGCGATTCTTACAGTGGAAGCATCATTCCCTTGGGTTTCTTAGAATCCGGATTTCGCACTCTGGGCCCCAGACTCCTCCACCAGTATGCCGGGCTTCACCTTCTCATCCAGCACCGGGGCGTTGTTCACACACCGCCGCGCGCCTTCGTGAATTTTCGCCGCGCTTTCCGCGCAAAGGAGCGAGCGAGCAAAAACCGGGAGTCCGGGGCCCGGCAAGCCAGGCTGGAAGAACGCTTTTCAGGATACGTTTAGGGGACTGCCAAAATGATGGGGTCTCCTTGTAGCTTTCCTTTAAAACCCCTTGTAGCTTTCCTTTAAAACCACCAAAACACTTGGCTGGAATTGGAACCCCAGCAAAAAAATAAGTTTTTTGCCTGGTTAGTGGAAAATAAAGGGACCCCAAAAAAGCCAAAAAAACAAAAAGGGGAGCTAATTCTGACAAAGAACATAGGTACCAACTCCACAAAACCGAGTTTCCCCTGCAATGCCTGCGTCGCGAAGCCCATGCAAATCGATTCTGCATACTTTGGATCACGGGCATCAGCTGCCCCCCCCCACCCCCAAACGGACCCTACTGCGCATGGTTGCGAAATCCATTTCGCACCACTTTGAAACCATGTTTAAAACCACAATTTGTTGGTTTACAGGAGAATCATGGGTTTCTGAACGGTGGTGCGAAATGGATTTTGTCTATCCACAGTAGTTTTGATTATTACCCAAGTCACATCGAAGGTTACCACCCGAACCACTCCAAAGCCTTGGGCGAAACAAACATGAACAACAAACTGCGGCTGAGAAAGAACATGCCAAGTGGGTACGTTGTTTAGGGGACGCCCAAAAGTGAGGGGTCTCATTTTAGCTCATTTGGCTTCTGAAACCCATGGCTTCCCCTGAACCAAAGGCCTGTCCCCGACCCAATGGCTTGGACAGCGACTCCCTGGAAGGGCTGAATAAGGGGATTTCCGTGGAAAAGAAGGCATCCTGTTGTCTGACTGTAAAGGGGAACTCTACACAAAAAAACGAAAAAGGGCAACACTGGGCAACTGGGAAGGTGTCTGGCAAAAATGAACATTACCCATCGCCTCTTGGCCTCCCTCTTAAGCTACCCCACCCCACCCCACCCCACCAGACTAGAATCTTCAAACCCCGCCCCGCAATTTTTTAGGATACTAAGTAATCACAACATATTCTAATTATTTTGGGTGTTGTTCTAATTATTTCAAGGCCACAGGTGTTCGCCACATGGGATGTAATCTACTATCATACCCCCTCCCCCCCCAAAAAAAAAACAAAAAACGGCGCCGCCCCTCCCCGTGCCGTGGACTATTTTGCCGCCAAGAACAAAAAAACATACCCTAAACTCAGTTGCCCAAAGGACCTGGAACTGAAAGGTTAACCTTTTGTGGCCATGACTAAATATGGATAAAAATGGGCAAACCTAAAGGTCAAAAGGTCTTCTTGAACAACTGAGTCAATGAAGGAGGTTACAAACTCCCCCCCAAACCCAAAAGAAACCGGCGCCTTGCTCCATCCAGCACCGCGGCGCCGCGCTCTGCGGCGCCATGGCGCCCTCTGCCCAGCGCTGCACCTCCTCAAAGTCCATCCGCCGGCCCGTGAGGAGGTCCCTCGCCGCCCCCCCAAACAAAACGGCACGCGAGCCGCGAGCCGCCGGACCCAAAAAAAACACAGGAAAAAAGGCGGAAAGTGTTTTTGCTGGTTCTTGTTGGGTGTGTGAAGTGTTTTTTGTTTTTTCGTTTTTGTGAAGGGCGCCACCAGGTTGGGGGTCGGAGAAAAGAAAAGCTTGTGGTGCACCACAAAATGGGACCCCTTTGTGTTTTTTGGCTTGGGGTTACTTCAAAGGAAACACAATGCCTCGGTGGGTTGGATACAAAAAGTAACCAAAGGTTCTTTGTTTGTCACGAGCACGGCGTTGCCCAAGAATTTAAAGTCTGTGAACTCAGTGAACATCCCAATCTCAACTAAAATAGACTAAAATGGGTGGTGCACCTACCCCAAAATGGTACCATTGGTTTTGACCCACAGCCAGTTTTTTGTGGTAGTTTAAAGGGAAACCAAAAGGAACCACCTATGGGGGATCCGCTCCCCACTTTGACACATACCCTGACGCTCCATATACGGGTGATATGCAAAACTCATCAAGAAGCCCCTAAAAACGGAACAAGGGCTGGTAAAACTGATTCCCGGTTCAAAAACTGAGCCTCGGGTCGTCCGTCTACATGTGTACCCTATACTGGCATGTCTGAATTAGGGGACCCCCAAAAACGGGTGGTGTCCTTTTGATTTCCCTTTAAACCGTGCCAACCCAAAAAAGGGTGCCCACAAAAAAAGGGACAGACCCATTTCTACCCGTGTAGTCCTTCAAGCTGAAGTCCGGAAGGCCTTGACGTTTAAGCCCGGATCATATCAGGGGATCCCAAATCCAAATCCGCAAGAAGTGGGTTGCAGCGCAAGGACTGGAGGCAGACCACTAAATCAACGTCTCAACTTCGAATCCGGCGAAACCCAACCGCTACGAATGAGCCAAAAACCTCTGTCAGGCCACGCAGTGAGTGAAAAACGTCGCCCACCCGATTCGATCAAACTCCTAAAGGGACCACCTTCTTCCCTAACATTGGGGGAAACTTTGAGAAACTGGCTGCCCCCCCGACCACCCCCCCCCCCCGCTTTCCATCCCTTTCCAGAAAAACTTCGAGTCATAATCAAAACCTGGTACAAAAATAGTGAACCCAGAACCATGTAAGGAATTGAAACGGCGGATATCCGCAGCTATTTGGGGCTGGGGCTGCCCCTTACAAACCTTCATCTACCCGAATCGGTTTTCAGCACGTGGCTCGCCTGCCGTGGGACATCAGCAGAACCCCCAGGCCGCCATGGTGTTGATGCACCGCCTTCACCGCGTACTGCGGCAACTCGCCTGACCCAGTCGAAGTGCGGCTCAACTCACCAAATGCGCTTCAGCTGCTACTCAGTTGCTTTCTGCTCCCCTGCTAACTTTTAGTGGTTGAATGGAAAACCCATTGGTTGGCAAAAAAAAGTCCGAACATCCAAGCAACATGCACCAAGGATATGCCAAACATCTGACGGTTTCAGCCAAGTATTGGACAAATTTCCTGCCTGTACTTCCCAGCGGACACCGAAGCCCCAAAAGAGCGGACACCCTGAAGGGACCCGAAACCCTGTTGGCTCCTGAGGTCCTGGGGATTGGGCGGCTGAGCCCTGGACAGCCATGGGTGCAGGGGTCATTGCATTTCACCTCGCAAAGTTGCGATGAATCGGTTTCTGCTTGTTTGGACCTCCAAACTGCCACTTTGTTTTTGCACAACAACATGAAATTCAGATCAACAAATGCAACTGTTTATTTGACACAAACATGTGCGATCCCAATAACCAAATGCCGCCTGTGACTGACCAACAACTTGAGGAGAACGCCACCAGAGTCAGCTTCCAAAATCAAATTCTGATTGAACCCTGCCCCATACTGAAACCCTCCCAATCAACTAGGTCCTCAGAGGTTAGAATAAGGGTACCAACTTTTTCCTGTGTATTTCAGTATGGGAACCCTCCCCCAAAAAAGGGGTGAGAACGGGCACCTAGCTGGGGGACCTAGAAAACGAACACCTCCCAATCAAACTGCCCACACTTCTTGTGCCCCACCTCCAGCGGAAAAAACAACCCTGCCGTGCGTCCAGCGTCCCCCGTCCGAGCTTCCGAGGCGCGGAGCTCTGGCGGCAGCTGCGGGTCGTTGGCGGCGAAGAGCGGCCGCGCCGTCGGCAGCCCCGCGGCGCGGAGCCGCGCCTTGAGGGCGGCCTTGTCCTCGGCGAGATCAAAATGGTTGCGACATCTGCTCCCCTGCAAAAAAAGTCTAACTTTTAGTGGTTTAATTGAAAATCCATTGGGCGGCAGAAAGCTAAAGTCCTAACAGCCAAGCAAAATGCACCAAAGACTATGTGTACATGTAATGCAAAAATGTAATAGCCATTGTCCACCTATACATCTAAATTTATTGTGTCTATAATGTACCATAGAGCATATATACATATATATATATAGGTAGAGCACCATATATAATGATGTCTATATATATATATATGTCTATAATGTCTTCCAGCACTATATAGAAAGCATATAACCAGTAGATATTACCTTCTTGTACTCTACATATAAATATATAGCATGTATATATATATAAGCCATTGTCCACCTATCTACTCATATATACATGTACATAAATACCTGTATGTGCATATATATATATATATATATATGATGCATATCCAAATCATTTATGTTCTATGTTGTTAAACATGTGCATACATAGTATATATACTGTATATATTTATATAGATATTACCCTCCCCCCAAAATAAATTATCCGAGAAAGATCAGCCGCACGTCGAAGAATGATGCTGAAACGGGTTTTGCCAAGTCCCGGCAACTCAGGGACCAACAGGCGCATTTGGTGCGGCCGTGATGTTAAACGAACTGTGGATTGGCCAAACAAAGTCGGGGAACTTCCTATTTACCCCTAACATGACATCTCAAGCAACAGAGGAACTCTGGGGGTGAGATATGGGTTGCTCAAAAAGAATCCCAAATGGGTGGGTGTTCCTTGTGGTCTCCCTTTAAAACCCACGAAACCATGGGGTACCGGTACCTCAAAAAGAGACGAGGCACCCATATGGTTAAATGCTGGGCACTGGAGGCCGGAACGACGTAACGAGGCACGGCCAGGGGCACCAATCCATCGGCCTGTGAGAACTTCCGGAGGTCGAACAAGTCCTCACACGACCCCCCACGGGAAACCCCCACGCCCCACACACTGGTTGCTCGTCCTTTCAACTGTTGGAGTTGGTACCAATCGGAATTTCTGGTGAGTTTGGCCGGGAATTTAAGGTGATCACCGCAATTGGGGCCATGACTAGGAAAATGGAAAGGTCAGCTTAGGTCGATTTGCTTTGGACAAGTGAGCTTGGAGAGGTGAAGTTGTGTATAACCTTTTACCCAAATAAACCACTTGATAATGCCCGTGACCCAGCCTGAAAAGCTTGGGAGGGCATGGCTTGCCTTTTTTGCAGGTGCCTTGTTTGATGGCTTTGAAGGGAACCAAAAAGGAAAACAACTTTTCTTTTGGGGGGTCCAAATCCCACAAAAGGACGAGCCGCAGCGGTCGCCATTAGGCTTGGGTCCTTTGGGGCGTTTCGTCCACGCGCCTTTGGGGGAGTGCACCCGAAGGAACCTTCAAACGTGCAAAGCAAGATGCTGAGACTTGTTCCTCCAACATGGCACCTGTGGGAGGGTACCTGGACGAGCATTTTCCTGCTGCAGGGACCGGAGCCCTGTCAGGTGCCATGTTAATGGGCAGCAGGGTATCATAGACCTGGTTGCAACAGCAAACCAACACTTCCCAACAACGTTTTTGGAAATCACCTAAGGTCTTAGCAACAGGATTTAAAAAACGCAAGTCGTTGCAGGGGATCGTTTTCCACTCCGAAAACTCATCTTGAGATCCTTCCAACAAAAGCACAACCCCCCAAGCGCACCCGCACCTGTCGACCTGTTGGCTAGTTGGGTGCATCTTCTGGGACCACCCCCCCTGGTCTGATTTGTGTGAAGGTCACCAACTTTTGTTGGCTTTACAAGGACGGCAAATGGACCCCAAAGGCCCCGAATATTCCCCAATCGCCCCAAGGAAACTCATCAAACCTTGGCATGTCCAAAATGCGATGCTTAAAACTTCCGAAGCAGATGTGGGGACCCCTGTCCTTCAGGTTGCAAAGTGGCCCAGGGCCGCAAGGTGATGTCAAATTCTGAAAAGGGAGCCTTGGGACCCCGGATTCACAAACCCATCCTGCTTTTTTTCGGGGGTGTGGCCACAGAAAAGTGATTCAAGGAGTTCTACTTCGATCTGGGGCTAACGTTAGAAACCGACCCCAGCTTTACACTCCTGCAAACTTGTTCGTGGAACCTGAAATAGCTCCGCAATCTCTTGGAAGAGCCCCTCTTGTTGATTCACCACTTGAATCTCAGGTTGGCTTTCCGTGGTTTTGGAATGCCTCCCCCTCGTCGCTCAAAGACAATGTTTTTCCCGTATATAAAAACAAACAATCACAACTTGCTTGTGGTATCAGTTGAACATGCCACTTTTGGAGGTTCCAACAACTCACTTCCTGAGTGGATGAGCCAAACAAAAGTGCATCATGTCTTAATTTACCACTAAAACGGTCCAAACCCAAAAAGGAACTCAGGAAGTGTCACCTGGGAAAATGCAGCTAGCAACGTTGTTCGGTAGTTGATTTTGGTAGGGGAACCCTCCCCCAAAAAAGGGGTGAGAAAGGGCACCTAGCTGGGGGACCTAGGTTTCATCCATTTGCTTCTTCGCCCCCTCCAAGAGTGAAATCGATTCCCTTTAACAAATAGCAAACAACGAAACCCTGGGACCTAGGCAGGAAACCCTGTTTCGCCCCCAATGCGTCGCTGAGGAACCGCTTGTGTTCCAGTGCCCAGGCACGTAGAAGCCCAGGTCTCCATGCGCCGCCTCGCCCAGGTCGAACTCAGGGGCCAAGCGCTCCAAAGGCACAGCCGGCTCAAAGACCTGCGGGGCATGGAACCCCTTGACTAGGTCTTTGCCTTTGCGATAGCGCACAGTCTCTGTTCGACGCAGCGATTTATTGGGGGGGAGGGGGAAAGAAGGAGAAGGCCACTCGCCACAGGCAACCCTTTCAGGAATCCTGTTGAAGTCATCCAAAAATGAGCTTGTCTCAATATAGGGCAAACCCAACAATTGGTGTTTCCCTTTAACTTCCCTTCACAGCCCCAGACATAAACCTGGGGTTCAAACTACCCTTAAACAATGGGGGTTAATATAGTAAACCTAAGGATTGCCATCATCTACATTGGGTCGAATGGGGGTTGACCCCCTACCTTCAATTCAAAAATAACTCCCCGAATCTAGGGCCGGGAACCTCTCCCGTCCGAGGGCCTGCAGTGCCTCCTTGCACCACGCGCTCGACTTCGCCGCCGCCGCGGACGAGGCGACGCGAAGCGGGTCCTGAGGAGAGAATGTCTACCTACCCAGAAACTCCTGAGACTTTCAATGGAAGAACCGCCCCCTCCATTAACCTGGCTGTTTCAGGCATCTGGGAAGGCAAAACTGGGTCCCTTTCAACTCGTTTGGCGTTGGAAGGGGAGCAAACATTTAAACTTTAGCAGAAGTAGGGATTATTAGGGATTTCAACCACGAAACCAAAATAAGCAAACATGTAAAATGTTTCCCAACAACAACGTGAATACCAAAAAGGGATCCACCAGCTTGAGAAACTCCTCTGCCCAAAGGCGCTGGAAATAAAAGCTGATCACCTTTTGGGGTCAGAACTCACATGGGTGTGGCTCAAAATTAAACAGCAGGGGGTACGCAGGTTTTGGTCCATGTTTCCACTTACCAGGGTTCCATTTTGGAATTCCGGTTTTTTGAGCCACAGCCAAATGGGAACCCGAAAAGGGGGACCAAAGGGTCATGTTGGGTCGAGAACCGCTTTGGGGTCATGACTAAAAACGGGGAACCCCACAAAAGGGGAAATCAAAAGGGTGATTTAGGTCGAGAATCGCTTTGGGCAAGTGAGGAACACCCATTTACAGTACTGAGGGACTATCAAACTTCTTAAATGGATGGCTGGGCAGTTCAGACTTACCGAAAGGTTCGAACTTGGATGTCTTTCGTGTCATATATCTCCCACACTTAAAGGAAGCTCACGTAAAATTGGCAACCAACAGATAATGTGTCAAGCCACCAAAGAGCGCAATCTAAAGACCACCGAACCAGAGCAGGTCCCGTCGTTTCAACCATAAGTTCTTTGATCCACCTCAACACTAATTACCATTCATACTGCAGTTTCCTCTTGGCAGTGAATGCCCAAACCTTCAGTCGCATTCCAAGGGAATTTATGGGAATCTTTTGTTGGTACCTGACTTTCAATTCGTAGCCCCCCCCCCCCCAAATGGCATGGTTAGTTGCCAGCTTTCTACTTCCGGGATCTCCCAGACAAAGTCGACACTTGGTTTTGCTTCAGTCCCCCAAAAAGAAAGTAATTAAGGAACACGTGTCCAGTGATAGAATCCGTGTAAAAACCAACAGGGTGAACACACCAAAGGACTTTTTAAGCAAATGACAGGCACATGGTCACAGCAAGTCTTGTCCAGGAACTGAAGGCAACACACGGATGCGCGCGCCATGACCGAAACGCAGCTTTTGGAGCATGCGAGATGCTGCCTAGGGAAAGGTGAACCCCAGTTGTCTGGACTACAAAGAAATGCTTGTACTCAAAATACGAGGGGCAAAATCGTTACACACTTTCTGCTCCTGCGTTTATGACTTAATTTGGTTCTAAAGTGCCAAACAGGCACGCACACGGCCAGCGTGCGCAGGGTTGAGCGGGCAGGGCCAACAGCCCTTTGTTGGACATCATACCTGAAGACTGACTTGTTTTCCCCACCCATAAAGGGGGCCGCCTACTAGACATCAAAGTTACTTTGCCTGACCCCCACTAAAACGGGGAGACCAAGACGCTCAACGGAGGTCTTGAAGGTGCCACGTGGCGCAACTAAAGGTTGACGTTCCGCCGGCTGACTTAGCTGGCTGGCTCAAAACAGAACCCTAACGAGTGGTCGGAGAAGCAATGCGGTCCAAGCTTCTGCGGGCCATGGGAAGAGCAACGTCTCCTCCTGGAAGAGGCTAAGCGACACTTGTGAACGACTCACTTGGTCAGGTTTCCCTCCCAGCATGGTATCAAACTGGAGGGTTTTGGTAGCCTTCTGGACCTTGACGAACATTCAGTTCGATCATTTGATCTGCTTGAACAAGTAAGTGGCATCAACTAGATCATCAATAGAAACAAATACATGTTTCAATGTTAAAAACTTTAAAACCTAGAAACCCAACCTGTCCTACCATCCATCGTTTTAGCCCAACTAGTTCAACCATTACTAAATGTTAAACAAGACAATTGTTCAACATATGATTTGACCCGCTGCTTCAAGACCCTGACTGGCTCAAGAGCGCTGCAGAAGCCGGCTGGAACAAACCAAAGCCAGACATCTTGCTGTGTTGTGGTCAAAAAAGGTAACCTCTGCTCTGCCCATCCAAACAAAACAGCCAAAACAATATAATATGTCCAACAAATGAAGTAAACCAACATGATACGGCCAAAACTAATTAACACGCAGAAACTGGAAACATCCGGAAGCGGATGCTTTATTTCTACTGCTTGAGTGCTGAACTTGGAGATGGCCGTTTTGAAAGATGTCTGGGCCTGGAAAAAAGGGGAATTGTTGTCAGCTTCCCTCTAACAGGTGGTTTGGATTGGTGGGTTGGAGTTTTGAGGGTAGCTTCCCACTTACAGTACCCTGCGTTCAAATCCCCAAACCACGAATCTGAACCACCAATTGGACCTGAACTTGAGCAGGCCCCACTATCCCAATGTATGTTCGGCGGTTTCGCTGCCCCTTAAATCAGGTACCCACATTAGCAAACATTTAGCGATTCTTCTCGCCCACTAGACATGGACAGGACCCCGACACGCAAAGAACCAGCCAAGACGTAGAGTCATCATATCCGAAAATTGTCTGATCAAAATTTACCACTATTAACATATAGTCCATCACCGTGAAAAACAAACACAAGTTGCCAGTTTGAAAGACATGCTGGTGCTCAGTAGGGAATGACCGTTCCGGGTGTTGGGAATGAACCGGAAGGGGATTCCCTCAAACGGGACCACAGGGGATGATTGTTCTTGGGGTCTATCCTTGTCTACGAACCAGCAAGAAGACGGTGAAGTTGGACTTCAGACCAGATTCCGACTCAAATGTCAGCTTTTTGGGTCGGAAAGCCGAGGGGAAAAGAAAGGCGCCTCCAAGCTGGGTCAATGATCAGACCAATCAAGTCCCCAAGTAAGAGGATGTAAGAGGGTCCCAAACATAGGTGTCCTCTTGGAAAAATCGTTTCGGGTTTTCCTGGTAAAGGGAATAAAGCCAAACTAAACTAAACCAGTGGAAGCCATCTTGGGGTTGATGAATATTCCTGGCCCCCAAAAGTAACCATGGGTGACTTTCCTAATTAGTGGGAAACATCATCTTTAGTGATAATGGTTTTCCCCAATGGTCATCCCATGTAATGGACCTTTTGATCAACCCCCATCTATTTTCCAACCAGACAAACCGATCAAAAACGCAAATAGCCCCAAACACGTGGCGCACTGGGGTGGGCTGCCCTCCCGGCCTGGCCGCCTACAGCGCCTGCGGGTCAGTTCTGGGGTGGGCCCCGTCCTTTTTGATACGTACCCATAATGGTAAGGAAAACCAAAAATAAAAACCGCTTCAAACATGAAAGGACAACTTTAAAGGAAGCGCACTTCCGAACTTCCAATCGAAACCCTGGGGTTCAAATCACCATTTAACCAATGGGGTTTATATAGCCACCATTATTTACCTAAGGAATTGCATGATCCAAATCGGGTCACCATTCTTTCATTGGGGGGCAAGGAACCCTAGGGGAAAGGCTATCTGTTCAATCACCCAGAATGGAGCTATATGATAAGAGCGAAACACGGATCAGTGATTAGCACATGTATCTGAGCATCTGCGAAAGATGTGTGCTAGGAATCGCGAGGTGCTTGCTTGGCCAGACTTCGACTCCCTGCAAAAAGCATAACTTTACTTTTGCCTAGGAAAGTGAAACAACGGAAACCCCATGGAAACCCTTTCAAAAGGAACTCCGGTAGGGCAGGTTAAGGTTAACCCCAATGAAATCAGTCTGGCAAGGTTTACTTAGGCTTGTTTATGGCCACGGCCAGCTGCGACACTGCTCTTTCTCCTTGACTCCAAATCTTCGGTAAAGAGAAAAAGGACGCCTGCTTGTTTCCATTTAAATGTTCAAGGGCAGCCCCTTCAAAACAAATGGAAACACCGTGCAGCGGAGGTGATCTTAAACCTTGTTTGGTGGTATGGGCTGGGTCCCCTCTTTGAGGGGGCCCCTGAAAACCATGCGAATATCCACCCGCCATGAAAGCCGCTGGAAGAAGACTAGATCTGCCCATCTCAGCATTTGATGCTATGCCGAAGTGCAAGATATAGGTCTGTGTTATTTAGGATTGGACCCCCAAAATGGCGCAACAGATTTCCTCTTAAGCTTTCTTTTTGTCCCTATATTGCTTATTGGGATTGGGGGGCTTTTATTAGGGGGGCCCTAGACAACGATAGGAGATACGTTTGTCCAACAAAAATTTGGCAACAGAACCCTTCCCTCCCATGCATATGGCACCTGTGGCAGGGCGCCTGGCAAATCAGGCTTCGAAACCTCATGGGGGCTGGGGGAGAGGGAGGGGAGGGGGGGAGCCCATTTTTCTGGGCTCTATTTGAGCTCCCTCCCCCCCTCCCTCCCCCGCAGCCATGGTTACCCTGCGGAAATCAACACAAAATTCACCAAGGAAGTGGGGGGCTCTAGGACTCCAATCCCTCCGGACAGGCCCTTTGGACATCACGTGCATGGAAAGAGTCCAACCATTTTGGGAGTGCCTAACGCAATATCGGTGTGTCTTTCTTTCGGGGACCCCCAAACCCCCCCCCAAAAAAATAAATATATATATATATATATAAATATCGCTGCCTGGACCCTCAAACTACCCATTTAAAAAGGGAATTCACCCCATAAGCTTTGCGCAATGACCAATTTGCATGGGTAGTTGGAGGGCCCAGGAGGTTTTGTTTCAGTTTAAAGGGGTATCCTCAAGAAAAGGCACACCGGAAATAAAACAAGGTTAAGCTTTTGGGACCCCTACTAAACTGGGACCAAACATGGAACCAAAAGGTCGAAAGGTCGGTTCGCTTTGTACAACAAGTTTCACAGAACGGGCTTTGCCTGCGCCCAGGCTTCGTAGCTCCTCGCCCGGCTGCTTTGCTCGGAAAAGCTAAAGAGGGGGCATGGGATGCATCCCGAGCAGGGCAACAAACTAATCTCCGAGTTGGATGTGTCAGACTGTTGACCCCCAAGATGGTTTTCCAGTGGGTTTTGGTGTAAACCAACCTCACAAAGAGTCGCCCGGCCGGCCGGTGATTTTGAGAGACTCGGCCCAAGTTGCCGTTGCCCCTCCGAAAAACAACAAAACCGCACTACTGGAGGGTCTGGGGGGATGGTAGTTGTTGATATCCTACACCAGGGTGAAAGTAGATGGCACAGTTCCTGGTACGTGGGATGACCTCTACCAAAATGGGTCAGGGCCCCTTCTAATGAGCTTCTGACGACCTTTCCTGCGTTGCGGGTGGGTGGGTGGGTGTGCTTTTGGTTGTTTCCCAATGCTGGTGTGTCTCAACATAGACGACCCACAAAAATATGATTGTCCTGTTGGTCCCTGAAAAAACAAGATGGTTGCTTTCTCTTTGGCTTCAAGTTAAAAAAAGGTCAGCTTTCCTCTAATTGGCGGTTTTGAGATAATTGTTGGTTTCCCTTTGCCCTTTGCAAGAACCGGGGGTCAAACCCCCAAACCACCAATTCTGACCTTGGGCTTCCTGTTGAAAAGTCAGCCAAAGGGGGGTTCCCTCCGTTTTTCGAGGAATCTCTTTGTATTGGGTTCTATGCTAATTTGGAAGGGAAACCACCAAACAGGTGGTTCCCCAAACAAGAACAACCCTTTTTATTGGGTTCTATACAACGACGTCCTCGCCCGTCCTCGAAGCTGAGCCAACGAACGGGGAGAAGAGCTTGCCACAGACAGCCGCGGGTCCCGGAGATGACATACCTCACAGGCAGAGCCAACCAAAATCCGTAGCCACATGAGTGGTTTTTGTTTGCACCCCACAAAAGCGTGGTTCTCCTCTTAGTTTCCCTAAACAAAACACCCATCCCAAATGATGTTCCTTTTGAAGTTTCCCTTGAACGCCATCCAGAAACAATGGTACACCTACAACAAGACAATGGTTCTGATAGCTGTGTGGGGACATCCATACTTGTGTATATATATATATACAGATATGTATTTGTCATTTACTTTGTTTTTCTTTAATAAACAAAAAACTACTGGCCCAAAGGACTCTGACAGTACCTTTATATATTATACACATCCTACATGCTACAATGCACGTTCAAAGAACACAAATAATTCACAGCCTAAGAGCTGGGATACGAGCGTGCGTGCATGTTAACGAATAAAAGATGTGCGGCGCATGGATATGTGCAATCAAAGAAAGGACCTGAGTACACGCGATCGATACAAACCCCGGATGGCAAGCTGGCAGTAATGCCTTTCGCAGGGACCCGCACTCCGGGCATCAGCTCGTGGTCAACCCCGCTTTGGGTGGCCAAAACGGAAAACGCAGAAGACACCGTCTAAGGCGGAATTGCCCTATGAGCCTATGAGGATGCAATTTGCGCTGGAGGGACATGAGAAAGATTAGATTCACTGTCAGTGATTCCTGTGGAAAGTCGGAGTCAAAGCCCCTCACGTCGATCCCAGATCATTCAACTTGGTGGATTGCTAGGGGTCCCCATTTAAAAGTGCCAAATCCTCTTGGAATTGGGCACCTAGTAATCAGACCAAAGGTTTGTTAGCTGCCCCTGAAAGACCTTTTGAAACAAAGGTCAAAAGGTCGCATTTGGGCTTAAATGAGGTTTACTCATCCTTGGCCTTCCAAGGGCCCGCAAAAACAGGGTTCCTCTGTGTTCCACACAGGCAGCCCCAAAGAGCTGACTGCTTTTAGCAGCCTTGCCAAGTGGCCCGGGCTTGGCTCTGGCGGGGCTGTAGAATTTGATCTGCAGGAAACTGCAGTCTGGGCACACCTGGCCATGCGCGCGAAACCCAAATTATGTCAGGAGTATGCTTGGGACATTTGTTAATATACCACTCAGCCCGTGTCGGTGAAAAGACGCCCAATGGTGATAGATTCCCTTTAATCCAAGAGAGAAAATCAAACACATAATCATTTCAGCAAACGGAAGTTGTGGGGTGAGGAAACCATGACAACACACTAAGCGCGTGCGAATTTGCACCCAGGGTCCCATTAGTGGAGCCACGGAAGGCGCCCTGCGCTGGACACAATCTAGAGTTTCATGTCCAAACCTAGGTCCTCCGGTAGAGAGGTTAGAATCAGGGTACCCTTTCTTCCGTAGTCTATTTTAGTAGGGGAACCTTCCCCAAAGAAGAAACGGTGAAAGGGCACTACTGGGGGACCTAGAAACAGATTGCTGAATGGTGAGAGAATCTCTCTGAGGTTGACGACCCTCCAAAGCAGGACTTCCTTCAGCGCAGGCCACGCTGAAAAAAGTCGTTGGGTTCCACCCGAAAAATTGGCCAGGACTTCCATCCAGCTTGGGGACTGAGAAGACAAAAAAGGAGAAACCAAAAGGTCAAAAGGTCGGCTTTGGGAATCGGAACCCCCGGAAAAATGGCTTCGGTTTTGGCTTGGGTGTCTGTAAGCCCCAAAAAGAAATCGGTACCAAGCCCAAAAAGACGAGCCACCTGACAACTGCTTGGCTTGGTGCCCCAGCCCTCACAGTTGCAGATTGGAATACCTGAGCCCAGCGCAAAGGATGTCCAGGCAAAAATATTTGCCTTTTTGCATACCTGGAGTCTCCTTCTGACCCTTGGACAATGGTTGGTCGTTACCGAAACTTAAGGGGTCATGGACCAATTTTTATTTCGGGTCATGGAGACGCTAGCTGACTTTAAAAGGGAGCCCCCTCCGAAGAATGGGAAGGCGGGTCTGGGCAAAGGACCAACGGAACTGCGTCTGGGATGTACCAACTGAAAAGCTACGTGCAAATCACGGACATAGGTGTCCTTTTAAGGGAAATAAATGGCCCTGGTAGATGATTAAACCACCAGGTAAACCAGGCCCATCTATTTTCGGGGCTCGCCTTTGCACACGGGGCAAGGAGTGCTGTTTCATCTGCGCGTGAATTCGGAAACTATATTTCCACGCGGCAAGGCTTTGCAGCAGCCTGCCTCCTAAAACGAAACAAGCATTTATGCTCGAAACTCACAACCGAGCTAGGTAGGGTTGCTAAGCGTGCCCGCTTCGCGCTCGGTTCGTGCTTGTGCTTGGTTAATGCTCGGTTCGTGCTCAATTGGTGCTCTGCTCTGCCGGCTCGCGCTCTGTTCGTGCTTGGGTTGTGCATGGTTGTGCTCAGGTGGCGCTCTGCTTGGGAGGCTCGTGCCCGGTTCGTGCCCGGTTCGTGCCCGGTTCGCGCCCAGTTCGTGCACGGTTCGCGCACGGTTCGCGCCCGGTTCGTGCACGGATCGTGCACGGATCGCGCACGGATCGTGCCCGGCTCGTGCCCGGTTCGTGCCTGGTTCGCGCCCGGCTCGTGCCCGGCACAAGGTCTAGTTGCATTTGATTTTCAATTCATGTGTGAGCAACAAGTGCGAGCACATGCTTGTGTATTGCTTCTTGTGTTGGTCTCTCTTCAAGTCATGAACTCACAGCACACATAAAAGCTTTACATTTGTAAGCTTGTTGATTTCTGCCCATCCAGTCAAATAACGTGTAGTAAGCTACCGAAACTTGTGAGATCCTGTCAGTGGCAAGCAGGCAAAGCAGTGCATGGCATCATGACGTATTAGACGTAATCATCAGGAAGACTAAGTTTCTGACATGTAATACAGACGCAAACGATCCCAACATGTTTCTGGCGCATACGTATTCTCTTTGGAAAGTCCACATCTTGCTTGCCCTTTGTGTGCTTGATGTGTCTGAGGATCTCGAATTAGTTCTGTCACCTTGGTATGAAAACAGATGCACGCCAGAACAGATACGAATGAATGCGTTGCATAAGCATGTCAATTGGATCCTACTAGGGGGTCTCAAACCAAAGTGGACAGTTGTGTGGCACGCCACATGCGCGCGAGTGTGCGTAGCAATGCGCTTGTCTTTTTAAACATTCCAACGCAATATACGAGATCTGAAAATACAAAGCAAACAAGCATCCCAGCCCCAGCGCCTTTTCATCTCACCACACAGTCAGTGCAAAGGCGCCCGCGCCTTGCGGCATTGTGCCACAAAGCGCAGCGCCACGAAACAATGCCGCGTCGCGGCGTGTTGCCGCGCATCGCAGCATGTTGCCGCGCATCGCGGCGTGTTGCCGCCCATCGCGGCATGCTGCCGCCCAGCGCGGCACGTTGCCGCCCGTCGCGGCACGTTGCCGCCCGTCGCGGCACGCTGCCGCCCGTCGCGGCACGTTGCCCCCCGTCGCGGCACGCTGCCGCCCTTCGCGGTGCGCTGCCGCCAATCGCGGCACGCTGCCGCCAATCGCGGCACGCTGCCGCCCGTCGCGGCAATGAGGCGCCACCACGAGGCGCTCAAATGCGGCAAGCGCCGCAAAGCTGACGCGCCCTGAGGCGCAGTCAGCGGCCGTCCCCTTTCCGGCCCGCCTTCGGGCGCGCTTTCCCAGCGCGCCTTCGGAAGATGCCCTGCTCACGCTGCTGCGCCAGCTTTGAGAGCCTGAGTCGCTGGAGAAAAAAACAAAAATTGTTTGGTCACAAACAAAAAGAAAACAAGAACACTTGCAAGAAACAAATAACGAAAACATAACTAATGCTTTGCCACGAGACGGGACTGACGGAGCCGAGGGCTCGCGCCTTGCCGGCGCGCTGTCTCCGCCTCCGCTACGGCTTCGGCCGCGCGCAGAGCGCGCCGAGGCTTCCGAGCCAGCAGACTCCTCCGACGAGGGGCGGGGAGGGGGCAACTCCAGAAAAAACGGCGTTTTCTGTAATACCTCAGCATTGCATATCTTGAGCCGGGCGCTGTTTGTAAGATTGTTGTGGGGAGCATGTTCAACCCAGTGTCCCGGAAAACAAAGTTCGGTTGTTAGTTTCACGCTAAATGCGCCTGCGCCAATGTGCTTGGAGCTGGGCGGCCATAGCAAATACCTAGAGATTCGTTGCGGCAAAAATTTCAGCCGCAAATCCAAAAAGGCGCCTTTTTGGATTTGTGGCATCTCTTTCTGATTTGCGGCGTTTTTTTTTTAAATTGCGGCAGAACTTGTTTTCAGTTTTGTCTTCCCCCCGATTTGCGGCGGAAATCGGCGGGAATGCGGCGGAAATCGGCGGGAATACGGCGGGAATGCGGCGGAAATTCCCGGAAAGCAAGCGGTGTTGCGGCGTTTTTGTTTTGGTTGCGGCGTTTTTTTGGGGTTTGCGGCTGATTTTCTGGAATGCGGCGGGAATTTCCGCCACAATGCGTTGCGGCAGAAATTAAGGCCCGCAGAAACCACAAGGGCAAGAGAAAAGGAGCATTCTGGAGAGTATAATTGCTGAGCAGACCCACAAAAGCTGAGCTGCGCGGCGCTTTCACCTTTGGCTGTGCAACGTTGAGAAGGCATGCCTGTTTGAGCTGGCGCAAAACAGAAACCCACAGAGCGCTACGTGCTTCCAAAGCTTTGTCAGGTCCAACCATGCCTCAAAAGCTTCTTGCCGCGCGTAGCAACGCAGAATATCAGCTGCAATGAAAATATTACAAATCTATCATGCCTGGAAAGCCCAGGGCGCCGAATTTCCGCCACTGATTGAAGTTAAATAAACGCGTTTGGTGCCCAAAAAAGTTGTTGGAGCAATTCGCGAATATTCAAGAACCTGTGTGAACCGTTTGGTTGCCAAGAAACGCCGTTTGATTGCAAAAAACGCCGTTGGCAAACATCAGTTGACCAGCTTGACCTTGGCAAAGCGTCGTTTTTCCACCAAAAACGCCTGACATTTTACACACTTTGGGATATATGCAGGTACTCTGTGACAAACCTTCTGACTTCACTGCCATGCTACACAAAACCACGCATCTTTGGAAAGCTCTCTGGAGGCCGTCTCGCACACTGTGGCTTTGCATTGCCCGCGCTTACCAGCAAAACAAAACATTGGCCTGTGCGCAAACAAAAAATGCACTCTGGGGTCTGTGATGCCCAGTGCTACCAAAGGCAAGCCCCGATTTTTCTGGCAAAACAACCAAAAAGGACACCTATGATCATGGATCGAAGCTCCCAAGCCCCATCTACCACGAGCAGCTTGCGACAGCAAGCATGCAGCGAGCACCGGGGTTGGTGAATCGGGGGTTTGAAGCTGAAGGAGTTACCCTCCACAAGAACCAGGGGTTCAAATCCAAATCCAAACTACCAATCCAAACCACCAATTGAGGGTTCCTTGAAACATGTTCCTCATATGCAAGAACAACACCATCAAAAAAGCACCATCTAAAAAAGAAAAACTCCTTAAAGCTGGGAGAAACCCAAACCCCCTTCTCTTGTTCATCTGCCGAGAGGGGACAAAAAAGGAAGAAAAACAAAAAAGGAAAAAACTCGACTCCAAGCCAACCGCCCTTTTTGCCATCTCCCGGAGACGTCTTAACGCGGCGGGTGGCACCACCCCAAAGCCAAGGTCTCCGGGCCACACTGAAAGCAGTCCTACGCTCGTGGGGATGTTGGACGATTTTCTGGCCCGGGCAAACATGCACCCAATTCATAAAGATCATGTGGGCATGGGTCAAAACCCAAATCGTATGTCCGGTGAACATCCCAATCTCCACTAAAGTAGACTAAAATGGGTGGTGCACCCACCAACCAAAATGGGATCCCGTTGGTTTTGACAACCACCGCCATGTATTTATTAAACCCTTTTTTCTGTAGTCTATTTTAGTATCTATTTTTGTAGGGAACCCTCCCCCAAAAAAGGGTAAAAGCGTGTAAAAGGGCACTACTGGGGGGACCTAGTTTCTCACTTGGCCCGGTGGCTGGAAGTAAACTTGCAGTTGCCGTTTTTGGGCCTGATCTCTGATACCCCCTCCCCAATAAATCAGCTGCGCTGACAGAGGCCCCGTGCGAACTTGAGTAAGTGAGTGAGCTGACAGAAAGCCCACTCCCTGATCGAGTGGAGGCCCGGAAAAAAAATAACAACAAACAAGTGTTTTGAGGTGTAAAGTGCAGGGACTCAGGAAGTGAATAAAAGTGTCATACTTTTGGGGCCACTCAAAATGGGAACCCCAAACGCGGAAACCTTTAAAGCTCAATTGCTCGATTTTTTTCGATTCGCGACTCGCCTGGAGATTTTCGCTGGGACCGTGGGCACTAGTCTTTGGGTATGGCCATGGCACAAACTCCGGTGTGCGGGTTCTAGGTTTGTCTTTGGAAGGGTTTCCCTGTAACACCCGGGGCGAGGGTGGGCTTTTGGTTGTTTCCCTCAACATAGAGGGCCCACCCCCAAAACCGGGTATTGTCCTTTGGTTGAAATCGCCCCAAAAAGAAGTGGTGCCCGCGAAAAATGAAAGAGATTTTGGTTTCCCCTTGGCTTCCTGTTGGAAACAGCCAAGCAAAAGGTTCCTCTCCAATCGTTGGTTAGGTTTTAGTGGTTTGGTATGGTTTGGTGGTTAAGGCTTTAAGGAGGGGTTTCCCATTGTCCCTCTACAAGGGCAGGGCTTCAAATCAAACCAATCCAAACCACCAACTACTCAGTTGCCCAAAGACGCTGGAGAAAAAAAACAGGTTAACCTTGTGCGGCCGTGATTGAAGGGGGAAGCCACAAAGGTCATTGTGGGATTCCAAAACTATAAATGACGGATCCCCAGGTAGTGGATCTTTGCCATGGTGAGCTCGTTTTACCCCCAGGTTAGCTCGCCACAACATATGCAAACAATTCACTGGGCTGTTCACAATGGAGGGTTGGTCAATCCTAATCCATAATCCCTACAGGGAAGCCACTACAAAACAAACCCCTTGCGTAAGCTAAGGATCTCGCGGATTTCCTTTGAACAGCCCAGATTAGGTTAACATATACTTTTTGTTTCTGTAGTCTATTTTACAAAGGGCAGCCCTTCCCAAGAAAAAAACAGGTAACAGGGCAAGAGTGGGGGGCCTAGCATCTGCAAACAAAGGAACGCTTCCACGCCATGCAAAAGCGAACGAACGCCGTCGCTTCCCGATTCGCACCGCTCCTGGATCTGGACTGACTCCAAGCCTTTGGTGCGAGTCCCACGGCTCGGCTCGGGTTCTTCCGTTTCCCGGTGGCCCTGCACCGACTGTGGATGGTATGCGAAAGCCTCTTAGGCACCACCCGCCGCCGTCTAAGAAAACCCAAAGGAATGGGCGTGATTCGCCAACGTACCAACAAGTCATGGCTTCAGCCATGGTTTCAAAGTGGTGCGAATTGGATTTCGCAACCATCCACAGGTCCTCCAGTAGTTTGAGGTTACAATAAGTTGGTACCAACTTTCTTTTTTTTTTTATGTAGTCTGTTTTAGTAGGGAAACTCTCCCCCAAAAAAGGGGTGATAAAGGGCACCTAGCTGGGGGACCTAGTGACGTTGCATAATGTTGATCCTCATAGTAATAACCCCAGTTTATTAGGGGGTGTCCAACTGGGTTTAGTGGGGAACCATACCACTTTTGGAGGGGAAGACCGCCTGATGAATAAACCGGGGGTTGAGAATGCATCCACTGAAAAACAAATAAACATATAGCAGGTAGTCAACAATGTTCAGCAAATGGAAGGTAAGGGAACAAGGAATCGATTCTCTAATTTACCACGATTTACCAAATTGTGTGGTTCAGTATGGCTGATTTACTTGCAGAATGCTATGGGGTAGCCACTACCCCCCGCCCCCTGAGCGTCCATGACTCTCAAACAAGCCCTCCCACCCCGCCACCCCAAACACCACACACACATCTTACACACACACAAACACGCACCTGTGCTATACAGAATGGCAAGGGGCTAAAACTTGCCACCTTTTTCTGGCAGAGCAACTGCTCTTTGCAACCCCCCCCTCCTCCCCCAAAAGAGTCCAAAAACGACAAACACTAGAAGGATTGGCTTGCCATGCGAGGGCCAACCAGCGCCTGATGTTTGAACAAGGACCCTGGCGTAAAGAGCTCAATGTGGCTGCGGGTCATCTAAACGAATGCTGTGGTATCTGGGCTGTACGTTAAGATCCCCTGCTAAAAGTGAGCAATTTTGACGTTAAATGGAAACCAACCACTCAACCAAATTCAAAGCTAAGGAACCGCATGCCTGGGAGCCACAAAGCAAAATTCAATTGATTGGTGAGTCCAATTCACAGCGATCCTGCGCCTTTCCTTGAGAAAAGGCTAACAAGTCGCGCGATTGCCAGCCGAAGCGTTTTGTTGTATCAACAATTTGGGAGCTGTCAAAGGGTATATCCCTTGAAACCAACCTATGAAGATGGGTCTCAGAACCTCCCCTGGCAACCAGGCGTGGCACCGTACCTCCAGTTCTGATTGGTGGGTTGGCGGTCTGGAGGTTGGGGGTACCTTCCCGTGCAGTTTCAAGAACCAGGTGAAGATGTCCAAATCACGACTCCACGCCGCTAATCCATACTTTCATTCCCCTGTAGCATGTGGAAGGACCGTCCCTTTATTGGCTGCCGGTACGCCAAACCCCTTCCATACATTACCCCTTGCTGGCGGTCAGGATGCTCCAGCGTCATCTGCGAACAGGGCTTTTTAAGGAGGACCAGTTCGCAGTGGACAAATCGGAACCCTTTCACAAAAAGTTGGCTCGCTAAATGAGAGAAATACAGGGATGATGGATATTTTAAAGAGACTGCAGACTGAAGGGAAGCGGGAGCTGGAAATCCTTCATATCCTTCCCACACTCTCGCATCTTGAGCTGCCAAACCACTGACTGACCCTAAGCAAACCCTCCAGGAGGGCCCCAAAGTGCAAAAACCATCACCTCCAGTCAGGTGAATTGAACGCATCTCCATGAGAGATTTTGATGACCACCGAAAAGGGCTGTTCTCATGGAGCTCAATTGAGAAACCCCGCAAGATGGAACCCAAAGCTCCAGTTGTTTGTTGGGTAGCTGATTTTAGATCGAACTCCCCGCCAAACAAGTGTGCAAGTTGGGACACCGCACGGGCTTCCGGGGAACCTTCGGTCGTCGCAAGCCCGGTGGTGTTTCGCCGGGGGCCCCACTCGATGCGATCCGGCCTATGGAAATTGGCTGAAGGGCGAGCTTCAAAGAAACTCTACCTGCTGTGTGTAGGGACAGCAGGCAGGTAAGATCCATCTGCATTTTTGGAGGGAACTACTTCCAAACTGAAGCAACCAGGTTCAAAGAAGCACGACGGCAGCCAAGGAAACACTCTTCTTGGAAGGGGGAGAACCTGACGTCCTTAACGTAAACTTCAGCCAGGTGATCACAAGCCCTCAAAGGACATGCGCGAAAGGGTAGCAATAATAGTGAGGGTGGCTCCAAACTGGCGCAAGGGCAGAAGATTGGCTTCAAAGGACAAAAAGCGCCACGGAGCGCATACCACATCTCCCTTGAAGATTGGTCCAAAAGAGGCTCTCAAAACTACATTCTGTCAACCGAAACTACGCGGCGGATGAAAGCAGCCTTCATCAAAACGTCGCAAAGCCCTCGAAACGTGACGTGGCACCACAGTTTGCCCAGAGTGTTCAACAATGACATGGCGATACATTAATTACCTTTACAACCCTTGGTAGCAAAACAATCAAAAAAACATTGCCTTTGCAGCCCCATACAAAAGATGAACGGAACCAAAGCCCCACAACTTGCCAACCACCGTGAAGAATAACGACGGGGCCCTCTTTCAAGGGTCCCAAAAGGACACCAAGCCCCCCCTCCCCCCCGGCTTAGGGGGCCCAACAAGTGCCAAAGGACACGTGTAAAATCCCCATGCCATTCCTCACTAGAACGTCGATGCCTTAGCAACAGCCCCTTTTGTTCTGCCAGGTGTGTAAAAAATTGCCAGTGAATACTAAACACAAAAGAGGCCAACGCACTGCGCAAAGTACTAGTCTTGCAATCGGAATTAAGCGAACCCCGGGTGAGCTCGTTTAACCCGCAGCTCGTTCTAATTTGGGATTGCACTCTGGGGAAATCTGCGAAGATGGTCCAACACGAGGAACCCGGCCGGAAATACTTCGCCCCAGTGGGAGGGTCATTCAACCGCCCTTGTTTTGATTGGTCCAATTCTTGAGGGTTGCTGCTCGTCCCGCTTGTCTAAAATTCCACCAAGGCTGCGGCTGCATCACGTGGTGCCGCCTGCGCAAGACAGAGATTGACGGGTGCTTCGGGGCCCGTTGGGCAAACATGAAGGACCAAGGAAACCAGAAACATAGAGACAAAGGTTAAGCCTCTCGACCATGTGTGGCGAGAACTACAAGGATCTTGGCAGTGCAAACCTTACAAACACACATGGATATCTTCGCGCCATCTACTTTCACCCAACTGTAAGTGTCATGTTAGTGTACATATTATGTGTAAACATGCAATATACCCTAACACATACCTTTATACCTATGCACACCATGTCAATAGGTGGTCCTTTGTGTAAAATAGATAGGCCTGGTGAATGGATCAAAGGCCACTCTCCTATGTGTATGTATATATATATATATATCATGTCAAATGGCTGCTAGGTCCTCCAGTAGGGAGGTTAGAAAAAGGGTACCCTTCTTTTTGTAGTCTATTTTAGTAGGAGCACCCTCCCAACCAAAAAGAAATGGTAAACGGGCACTACTGGGGGACCTAGGTTGTATTCCTGGTGTAGCGTTGCGGCAAAAGGTCCCCCCCCCCCCCGTCGCACCTGTCGCTCGAGGCGCTCCAGGTCTCGGCAAAGGCGGCGACCGCCTCAGGTGCCGAATGGGATGACCCACCCGAGTCAACAGCAAGACTTTTGAGCCACAATCAAAACCTGGTACAAAAATGGTGAACCCAGAACCAGTAGCACGGCGGCCGCAACTATTTCTGGCTGGGACTGCCCCGTACTAACCTTCATCTACCCAGGTTGATATTGTGGCTCTTTTGGCTCAACCCAGCCACTCGGGTGGATTAGGATGTTTTGGCTGATTTGGGCAGTGCAGCAATTGGAGCTGATCAGTGGGGCGGACGTGAAAGAATGTGCCTTCTTAGTTGGGGGGTCTCTGGGCGAACTCTAAGGTCCCTGCTTGGGACCAGCGGTGCAAGCATGTTGCAGTCAGTCAAACACATGTCTGCTGTTTGGGCCACAAGTGTTACAGTCACATTTGATCATATCAGCCTCAGCTGGAGCATAGTTCGTAGGAGAGAGCACATCAAGCTTGGCAACAAAATGCGTGGAGGAACAAAAACAGCGTTTTCAACGAACAATGCTATAACGCACGAGCACGTCAAGAGAACAAAGCTTGGCAACAAAATGCGTAGAGGAACAAAACGCACATTCAAGCATCAGCAACATTATGTAGCCGTTGAGAGTGCCTAAAGCTTCAAGCTACAGACGAGTCCAGTGTGATGGGCTTGCCTATCTCTTGGTCGACCTGTTCAGTCAACAGCACTGCACATGCGCTTGGTCTCCAACCACCCGCTCGCGTCACACATACCCGAGCCTCCTGGTCTTGCCAGCGCCTGGCACAGGAAAATGGACCCAATCCCAAGGCTGGGACCACAAACGTGGTGCGTCAAACGTTGAAGGTGGGACTCACTTCCTAGCCACAAAAAGTCCGAACCGCCTTTTGTCCCAGGAATCAACTGGAGAGGTCTGCCCCCGACTCTCCGCAGCCCAAGCCTGATGGGGTTCCCTGTTTGTCTCTTGACTCGACATTGAATACGAAAGACCTGTTACACAGGCTTCGCACAGGCTCCAAAAGACACACACACACGAACATACACACGCACACACAAACACCTTTTCTCGGTTGCTTTCCACTCCCCTGCTAAAAGTTTAACTTTTAGTGGTTGAATGGAACACCCATTAGTTGGCAAAAAAGTTCAAGTCCTGGCATCCAAGCAAAATGCACCAAAGTATAGGAACCCAACCGAGGTCCAGGCACCAGAATATCCAGCGGCTGGGGCTCTGCGCAGCCTAGCGTGAGGTCTGGTGACGGCATTGAAAGAAGCTCTGTTCATACATCCTTTTGTGGACCTGCAACCTCGGAGCGGCAAATCCAAGCAGACGGAAAGCACGCGTGCAAAGCAGGAAATGCGAAACAGCAAGTCTAAACAAACGCAAAGCATGCGTCCGGGCCATGTGGAAGGGTGGGAAGCGAAGTCCCCCCCGCCCGTTCCAGCATTGTTGGGAACCGGCAGGCCCCCTTTGTACACTTCGCCCACTTCCAGAGCTTCTTGGCCTAGGGAAGAAAAAGGGGCCCTGGCGCTGCCTGGTCAGAGGGGAAGCAATCAGGGTTGCTCAAACCCCGCTCGCAATGAGGAAAAGGACACCGTTCGCCAAGTTTCCGCAGGACAGACTCAAATGGGGACCAGTGGATGGTTGTCGGAGGACTAGAGCTGGTCCTGATGCTGGAATCCGATTCTTGGCTTGCTCCAAGATCCTGGGCAAAAGGTCGCTCCCCTCTTCAGGTATTCTCATGGAAAAACCATTTGCTTCCAGAAGGTCTAGGAGGCTAAGGGCACGGAAAAAATCAGCCAAGATTTCCCGAATCTGACGGTTTCATGGTTCACTTCAGAAAGACTGGATTCCTCAAAGGATGCACGACAGAATCGCCTGATGTTTTTTGACAACTTCTCACAGGCGGCAACAACAACTTCTCGCATAGACATGTTGCCCCAAGAAAACAAGCAAAGAACCAACTCACTTCCTGCGTGGATTAGCCAAACAAAGTCCACTGTTTGTTTTCCACTAACATGGTCTTCCCAAAAAGTGAAAAGTCCAGGAACTGAAGGGAGTAGCACACAAAGAGTGCCAATGAGCACATTTTGCCCAGGCCTCGTGACGTCACGAAGCATATGCTGCCAACGAAGGCAAAGTAGTCACCTGAAAGGCACGGAGAAGCGGCTCGCCTCCCACGACTGTTGGGCAGAAGCAAGTCGCTCATTTAGTTTCAGCCAGAGCAACAAATCATATCTATAAATAGAACCGGCCTCGCGGGGAAAGAAAAGGGAAAACCAAGAGAACAACAACCTCCATCATATGACAGAGACCCGACACAACCAATTTTCAGCTGCCCAAAGGACCCAGAAATAAAAGGTTAACCTTTTCGGGCCATGACTAAAAATGAATCAAAATCGGAAAACCAAAAGGTAAGGTCGGCTTTGGGCAACTGAGAATTCACAGTGACTAGTTGCAAGTGAACAGAACCAACATTCCAGTTGATTGCAACACCCCGAAAGCCGGAACTCTCAGATCTGAAAGGCTCAAATGGCGTCAGAAACGAGGGCCTGCTTCCCTATGAGCATATTTGGGTGCGTCTTTGCTCAAGGGTAGCCGGTCTTGGCTGTTTTAACAGGCCACCAATTAAAAACCATCATTTTCTGGGAATTTAGGGAAAAGACAGACCGGTTTGAGACTTTAGGGAAAACATGCTGTTGCATGAGCACCGCAGTTGGCATCCATCTTCTTTTGATCCCCAGCACGGATCAAAGATCTGCTCCCCATAGGGCGCCCGGCTAATGCCAAGCACGTCCAGACCCAGAAGCACCTGAACAAATAAAACGTGCAGCTCGCACATCCGGAAGTCGAATTTGATCTGGGGGGGGGTCAGGGAAGCTTTGGTACTTGGCTATATTAGATCGGGTTCTCGGGTTTTTGAAGAAACTACTCAAGACAATTATAACACAAGAATGTGCGTGCATATCGAACCCCACTCATAATTATTGGTTATTCACGAAATAGGGGGACCCCCAAAAATGGTTGGATTCCTCTTGGTTTTCCTTTGAAGACCAAAAGGTCAAAAGGGGGTAGCCTCAGCAAAAATATTACATCTTTGTTAGCATCCATGGCAAACCGGACGGCATGTGAAAGGCGAAACCTTCGAAAAGCGAGTGGGGCTAGGCCTGCAGCATTTAATGGTCGGACCCCCCTCGAAATTGCCTGGACATAAATCCCCACCTAAATGATGTCCACCAAAGGGCCCCGAACTAAAATTCAGAATTCATATTCCAGCTAGATCCACACAAGGGGATGGAAAACAAAAACAAATCCCTTTGCGCTTCACCCCTTCCTTACCCCTTAAAACTCCAAGCCCTGGGGAAGTTAATCTTTTACAGACATATAGCCCATGTTACCCAAAAAGTTGAAAAGTAGTGTTTTTAAGAGGTAAGCTTCCTTCACTTCGGGGGCTTGGCCAGGTCGTTTTCTCCTCTTTCAACGGCCTGCGGACCACCTCCACATGTATTGAGCAAGCCGAGGGGAAACAAAACGCTTCCGGCACCTATACGAAGAAAACCCGACCGGTGTCTGTGTTTTGCTTCCTGCAAGAGTACGAAAACCAACGGGTGTGTCTTTTTGAGACTACCCCGTTGTTTCTCGGTTGCTCTCTGCTCCCCTGCCAAAAGTGAATAACTTTTAGTGGTTTGATTCGGAAAACCCATTAGCTGGCAAAAAGTGATTCAGCCCGGCAAAATGCGCCAAAGGTTTTCTGTGGCGTTAGGAAACCAAGAGGAAGTAATTTTGACGACTCATGACTGCCAGCTGACAAGTGGCCCTGAAGGCTTGGGTCGCCTCGATCCAACTAACTGGAAGGCTTGGCCATAAAGCCGTCAGTTGCAACCAGTGACCCTGGTAGACCAGGAACTGGAAACTTAAACAAAAACAAGAGTGTCCCGTTCCGCCCAATAGACGATCTCCCAACCCTTGTTAGATGATCCCGAACTAGACATTCAAGGGTGGAATCCGATAGACGATCTCCCAACCCTTGGTAGATAAGCGAAATATGTTCCCAAAATATTAAAGGGCCCACGTACGAAATAGATCCAAAAACCACTGCTTGACACAGGAATCCTCAGCTGGGAAAACAGGATTTCTTGACTGGCCCGAATGTGGCTGAACCAAATTCCTGGGTCCTTCACAAACGGTGGGTTTGGTTGGTTTGTTTGCCCACAAGCAGTTCGCATTGGACCACTGCTTCACCGAAGACCTTGACCACAAGGTCAAAAAACATCTTGACAAGGGAGTCGGCTCGAAACCAGCTTGTGAAAGTGAGTCTCTGTGGCTGGTGTCCTGAAAACACTTCACCGAACTCACCGAACTGAACTTTGTCATGCGGCTGTCTTTGTTTGAGGGCAGCCCCGTTTTGTGGGTTAAAGGGAAAACAAAAAGAAACCCGAAGCTGCCGAAGCCAGATCCAACCTCAAAAAAGACAAACCCATGCGACAATACTCACCTCAAGACTTCCATCAAGCCAAACCTTGGGACAAGGACAACGTATCCCTATAAATTGGCGGTTGGATTGGTGTGGACGTTCGGGGAAGTCCCCTTTTCATATGGTTTCAAAAGGTACCGGGGCTCAAATCCCAAAGCCACCGATGAAGGGTTACCTCATATGTATATATATATATATATATATCCCCGTAGAAAGACACATTTGCTGAATTCCACTGGAACCGAAAAATGCCCAGAAGTGATAGATTCCCTTTAAAACCAACAGGAACAACATATTCCTCACTTCCTGAGTGGATTGGCGACAAAGGTCTAAATCTGTTTGCTAGATTGTGGCCCAAACCCCAAAACGTGGCTGAAGTCCAAGAACTCAGGGAATGAGTGGTGCTAGACTCCCTTTGCATCCACTTGTACATACCCCTTTTAACCCTTTGGAAAATGAGCCCAAAGGGCCTGCTGTTCATACCCCTCTTTTCAAAAGGGGTATATACCCCATATAAAAAGCGGGCTGGAAACCAGGGACGCAAAGGGGAATGTAGATTCAAAATCAAGATTCTCCAAACTAATGTAAGGCTCCCTTCCCAACAGCTAGCCCACAACCAACAAAACACCTTCTATGGGAACTCCCCAACCAAACCCCCCACTCACCAGTTTCCCCTTAAAACATCACCCCCCTCAAGGGACACTCACCTTTCACGGGCCCAAAAGGTGATGCTTAAAACCACCACCGAGGGAAATATAGGGAACCCTGCCCCGCCCGGACCCCACCCTAACCCACCATACTCCATGGGAAATCGCCGGGAGTGAGACGTGCTCTTAGACCTCACCTCGCGCCTCGGTGAGCAAGTCCAGGCGCTCGCCGCGGCTGGCCGCGCGCCACCAAAGGAGATCCTCCGGTGAAAGGAAAAATATCAATTTTGGCGCCTCTTTTACTAGGAAGGAAATGATCAATCTTAAATAACGAGAGTTCCTTTTGCTTTTGGTAAGTAAACACCCCTTTTTGTAAGGAAGTTATCAATTGCCCGGGGGTAGTGTGACTAGGTTCCCCAGGAAAATATCAAGTTTAGAGGACATTCACAAAGGAAAATATCAAGTTTAGAGGACATTACCCTACACCAATGAACATGGAACCTGACATTCGGGGGACTGGCTTGGACCATTTTCCCTTTAAAGGGACCGGGTCCCTGTCAGGTTCCATGCTAATTGATGGGAGGGTTCTTCTAACTAGAGGGTCCGGATTAATCAAAAGTTCCAATGACAATTGCTCATAAAACTGCACTTTGTCACAACATAAGGTTACATATCGACGCTTCCTCAAAATAATCCCCAGGGGGCGAGTCACAGGCTCCGGTCCAATTCCCCGTCCAAGCGCTGGTTTCAACAAAGATCCGGATGCATTGCTCTGTACATGGTGGTGTCCCTTTATTTTGGTGGAAAAAGCCATGTTTCAAATGGGCAAAATGTGTCTGTTAAGGAGCCCTGTTCAAGAAAACCCGTTAAAGAAGCAAGCCTGACTGGTGGGGCATGCCCAGTGCATTTCGACAAGGAAATCGCTAGGGCTCCCCAAACAGGGCCCCTCCAAGAACAACATATATGGAATGCAAACTGATCCCGTCCAGATTTTTAGGAAAGAAGTTGAAACTCCTGGCAGAATCCCTCCGATCCCCTGCTAAAAGTTCAACTACACCAACTGGACGTAGGCAACCGCCGAGCTTTTTGGGTCCCTTCCGGTGCGCTTGCATGCGCTCGCTGGTTCTCTCCTTGCCAGCCTGGGTGCGTCGTTGCTCGAGGGTACGACAACCAAGGGGAAAGCCACCAATTTGGGGGGTTAAACCCACATGGCATGAAACACTTCCAGGGCGAAACTAGATGGATCAAATTCCATAACCCCCGTCCAGGTCACTCGTCCTCCCCTTGGCCCAAGGAAGTGTGCCATCTTTCAGCTGACCGCAAGCTTTTGGAGCCTGGCCGAAGGACCAACATGGAGAGGCCAATGGGTACAAGGCCGGCTGCGCCTTGCAAGTGAGCCTTGCAGAACCCGGAGTACCCGACACAGGCCCTGCCTGTGTGCCGAAGGGGAAGGGCCTAAGCCGAAGCCGTTCTCAACTACTGAAAGTTCACGTGGTTCATCAAAACCAATAACCCGGCTTGATTTTCATCGGGGGGTGTCCGGTGTCGCTTTTTAACCACTTTTGGAGGGAAACACCCCTATAAATAGGATGGTTTTATTGATCTGGGTCAGCAATATACATTCTCTTGCGCTTGCCCGCCCAAACCCCCTTCATGGATGTGTGCCCATTCTCACCTGAATATGCGACCCCGAAAAACAAGGTGAGCAGCTGCCTTGCCCGACAATTTCACAGAGAAGGGACTTGATCCCAGTTTCCCGAACCACCAAAGGAACATGTTGGTTAAAGGGCTGGACATACTGTGGATGGACGCAATCACCCAAGAAATGATGATTCCCCTGTAAATACCAACTAACAATGGTTCGAAGTGGTGCAGAATTTCGTCCATCTACGGTATTTGCAAGGGAGACGGAAGTTCCCAACCCTTAGTGTTACGTGCAGAGCTTCCATATCTCTTCCCTTCCGGCCAATAGTAAACCTGTAAGACCATTCATGATTCCTTGGATGTTCAAACGACATTAGCAAGTAGGATATATAACCATGCATCTTTATATAGTGGGATACACAAGTGTTTGGTTCGCTCCTCTCGTCTGCGCGGTGAAACCATCTACTTACCAAAGGTGAGTCGAGCATCCAAGCAGCTGGATCCGTCCATCTTCCAGTCATGACAACCTGCCGCCCAGGTTCCTCGAAGACCCTTTTTTCACGGCTTCCTCTTGGGTTTCATCCTAGTCACGTAGAAGTGTAGCTCCCTTTGGTTGGCTTAACTTTCCCTGGAAACCCAGCAAAACTTCTGTGAATGCTCAACCTTAAACCTAGGACACACACACACATGTTACCAGCATGGACCCAAACAGGCTGGGTTCCATTTTTTACTGCACCCCACGGTAGACTTGAACCCTGGTGTGGTTCATTTCCCCAAAAGGGAATCAACCCGTTAGTCTTTTTGTCAACAACAGTCAATTTCTAGTTTCTCAGTTGCCCAAAGGTGCTGGAAACAAAAGGTATTACCCTTTTGAGGCCGCGACTAAAAATGGCAACCCAAAACGGGGAAACCAAAACCCCAAAACCGCTCAGCTCAGCTATGTTCAGCTCGATTCGACAACGGGCCTGGGGGAGTTTCAGAGTACCCCCAATTCTGCGAACCCAAGAACAACATGGAGCAAATCAGGGGGAAGCCGAGCTAGGTGACACAGGGCCTTCATGGGCTCCCGAAAGTTCCCCTTAAAGCATCACCCCCATCAAGGGACACTCACCTTTCATGAGCCCAAAATGTGATGTTTAAAGCCTCAGATGCCCAGTGGTCAGGGGCAAAAAAGAATCGGCATCCTTTTTTGGCTGGTTGAGTTTTACAGGGAACCCTTCCCAAAACAAGTCGAAAAAAGGAAGCAATCCACTGGGCAACGCGGTGATATTTAATCAGGTTGCGATGACATATGGGATAAGTCATCAGGGACATGGCACCACAGGAGTTTCTGCTTGCCAGCTGTTTGTCAATGGTGCCAACGCGCTGAACATTGGCCTCCCTCTTTGCCTCCCACCAAAATTGGAAATCTAGGAATCGACCCCGCTGAGATTTCGCCCAGCCTCGCCAGACCGGGGCTGCCGGCACAAAGCTGGCCGCGCTGCCCCGCAGGCGATATGTCCTCTGCAGGTCAGGCCTAGGAACGCGAGCGGCCTGCGACCCGTGCGACGCCTGCTTTGAGCCTAATTTGTACTTACCCAAAGGTGACCCCTTGGCAGTACCTGCTGCAGCAACGCTCGGCTGGATGTGGGTCAAGGTGATTGAGCAACTCGGAGCTTGTGCCAACACTTTTGCAGATAACTGGCAGTGGATGGGCACAGGTGCTGAACAGCATCTGCAGTGTTTGCGGACTACTGACAGGTTGCTCCAGTCCTTGAAGCTCACTAGTGACCCTTCCAAGTGTTGGGCATGGGGCTCAACCCCCGCAGCCCGCCGACTGTGGTCTCGCATTTCCTTGCTTTATGTTGGCAACCCACGTGCCATACCCGTTGCCAGTGAAGTGAAGAGCGCGACCTCGGTGTCCAGATGCACTACACTAGGCAAACAACGCTTGGCGTTGCCCTGAAACGCATTCAGAAGGCTGAGGCTAGGCTAGTCAGGCTTAGGTACGTGCCCCTTGACTTCAAAGGAAAAGCCCGCCTTGTAGTCACCAATATATTGCCAACGGCTTTCTTTGGAGCCGAGCTTGTGTACATTGGAGAGTCCCATTTCAAGCAACTCCGGACTGCCATTGCCGATGCACTCATTACTAGGACGCCATACACCAGCCCGTGGCTGATGACCAGCGCAACCGCCAGAACTAGCATGGACCCCTTGCGATTCGTCATCACCAACACGCTTCTGTTGTGGCGTAGGTTCATGTGGGGCGAAGGTATCGATCGGTCTGCCATACTCCGCCAGCTTCATGAGGCCAGTGCCAACCCTTTCTGTGCTAGCGGCCCATGTGCAGTATTCAAAACATACCTGGCTCGGGTAATCCACTGCCATGACGGTGACCTTTTGATTGAGGACACCAAAAACTGCACCTTTTCCCTCCTCAATGTCTCTGAATCCTTCGTTCGTCAGCGGCTTGATGAGGCGTGGGATGATATTGTTGCTGACAAAATCCGCAAGCGTAAGGAATTTGTCCATTGGCCCACCCCTTGCCTTGTTTTGAACTCTGAAGGGTTGGACGAGCTTTGCGAACGTGACCGCGCCATCATGACACACCGCCTCACCGCTGGTGTCATTCTGCAGCATCACCGCCGGAAATGGGCTAATGGAAGTCCCGACCCCTGCCCAATGTGTGGGGAGCCCGAAGACCGCGTCCACCTAACTCACAACTGTACCGGCACCAGTGACATCCGGGACGCAAATGCCGACCTCATACACCAAGTCTGTTCGTGGGCTCCATGGATGGGATGGTTGGCCTGCCTCTTGCATACAAGCACCCGGACCATGAAGCCCTGGTTCTTGCAAATTGCCAAGCCACCTTTCCCCCTCCATTTCCTGCCCAAATTGACTCCCATGGAGAGGTTAGGATCTTTTATACTGATGGCTCCAGCCTGAATCCGACGGCCCCTTTCGGGGCCATTGCCAGTTGGGCCATAGTTGAAGACCTTGCCAATCATGATAGTGATCGGATTAGCCACTGGTGCAGGTACACCGAGAACTGGGTCCTGCCTGACAGCTTTCACTGTGTGCAAACTTCAACCGTTACTGGACGGCAGACTGTGGCCAGAGCCGAGTTCTCTGCCCTCATTCAGGTTGTCCGATCCTGTGATGCCGCCATTATCTGCACAGACAGTAAGTACGCCATGGACCTGTTTAACCAGGTGGCCGGGTGCAGCCAAGCAAAAAAGTACATTAAGTGTGAAAATTTTGACCTGATCATCATGCTTTGTGACTTGTTCTCCTCAAAAAGGGCTGCCGACTTTGTCACTCTAAAGGTCACTTGACCACCTTGAAGACGAACAGATCACAAGTCCGCTTCAGGGGTACGCAGTCTTGGGAAACCGCCATGCCGATTATGCTGCCAAGAAAGCAGCTTCGCCCGAAGCTAGTGCCTTTGCAGCTCGTGCATTTGAGGTGTGCGCTTTTTATAAGAAACAGACCAGGCTCAAAAAAGATTTAGTTGAACTTGCGGTTCAACTTGACAAAGTGCGCCTCGATGCCCTTGACAAGAAGCGCATTGCCGAAAAGCTTGAAAGCAAAAACCGTTGCACTGCCACAGCTCTGAAAGCATGGCAGCCTCAAGAGTGTGCGCCCCTACCACCGATTCAGCTGACTGATGATCAGCTAGCTTCTTTCCAGTCAGGCGCCTCACTTACAGTTGTTCTATGTGAATGGGCTGCAACATTGCAGTGGCCGAACATCAAGCACCCTGATGACCCAGGAATTGCCCTGGTCGAACTTGTGTACAACTTCTTGCTGGTCACACAGACCGCACTGCCCCGCATTGTAGCTAGATCTGCAAATCGGGTGACTTACGAGTATCCAACAGACCAAGGGCCCTTGGCCCTCCTTCCTGGTGCCTTGGAGGATGCATGCCGCCTATTTGACGCGCTTGATAAGCAACTTAAGAAATTCTATGGGAAGGACCTCTTCCCACTGCACCTTCGAGGCAAGATGCCTTTCCTTCGATACTTTGGTTGCAGTCAAAAACGCGTCGGCTACTATGCCAGACCACTCATGCTTCGAAGCCTTGAAACAATCAGCGGAATCGCGGAAGGCCTTCAAAAAGGCACAATCAACTCGTTGCACGTTCCCAACATGCCACCGCTCATTCAGAAGAGAC